AGGCGAAGGAGAAGCAACGATGCACTTTCCGCTGATTTTTCGATGGCATGATGCATTTACTGCGTTAGGGCAGAAGACGAAGAAGAAGAAACAGAACTTATGTGGACTCGTGGTTAAATAACACTTTTTCCCCTTGCTGTACTTGGAAACGAAAAGCTAATGTCCAAAAGCAATTAGACAAAGCTGTGAATATTGTTCATTTTGAATTGATCGTCTTATCCATAGCTTACTAATTCGCTTTGTATACAACGCTAGTTGTTTTCTAATGTTTTCGTTGTAATCAAGGAGCAAGTAGCTGACTTTGGTGTGCTTAACTGCTTATAAAAGTCCATTTCCAAATGTTTCTTCAGTTCCCGCTCTGCACAACCATGGAGTGCTCTTCATTTACTTTTCCGGCCTTTCCTCCTTCCTCAACTCTAAGGCCAAAAGACATCTTCAAAGAGTGCATTCATGTCCGAAGTTTTTACTCAGTTAACCATCTTTGTCATTGCATCAACCGCATCCATGCCGTGCCTTCAAAATTACCAAACAGCAACCGTTCCATTGTCCCAAATCAGCTTAGATCATTTTTGTTTTGCTCGAACACGAGTAAGCATATGAAAATGCAGACTAGCCATGGGGTAGTTTGGTAAGAGTACTAGTGATCAAGGGCCAGAAATAAAGTGAACGAATTGGATGGAGGGGCTTGTGGCACTTTGTGAACTGTGGAACAATATTTTGGAGCAAAAAGAGGTTGCGGGCAAAGACAACGCTCACCATGAGGGTGAAAACGATGGTTGTGGAAGTGGTGGAGAGGAGGGTAGTTGTGCGGAAAGTTGTAGTTTAGAAGAAAATGAAGGAGAAATGATAGACAGATCATACGATCCTGAATCTTTCTCGAGGTTTTTGGTTAGGGTACCATGGTCAGACACTAAGTTATTTTCTAAGCTAGCCTTCGATCTTGTGCAACATGGCCAGTGTGATACCAGAGATCAAGGTATGTTTTCGTTAATCATGTACTTTCCACACAGATTTACATTCCAAATTTACTTAAGTCGGGCATTTAAGCATTTTCCATTTGCAATACTAATGCGCATGCAGGCCGAGGATTTGAAGATATACTATGGCCTACAATTTGTAACCTCTTCATTAGAAAAGTAAGCAGAAGTAGCTTGTTTTATGGAAGGTTCAACAATGACAAAAGTACTCGCAGCAGCAAGCGAAATGGAAAGACAAGAGATGGAAAATGACCTTAGATCACTCCACTACTCCTCGCCTTGTGAGTGGTTTGTTTTTTATGACTCCAGTATTTCTACTCGTTGCTTTGTGATTCAGGTTATTTCTTATAAGCCCTTCATTCCAATCTTTGTATGACAAGTCTTTACTAACTTTATTTAGCACTAGCTAGCTCTCCAATGGCATTTGTTACATTGTACATACGGTTCAAATGTTCAAAAAAAAGAGATGACGTGACACAGATTGGTAAATGCATAGAATGGTAAATTGGTAATCATCCTTCACTTGCAGGGAATGGACTCCGTTGCATCCCAGCAGGCATACCTCTTTCGAACCCAACAAATTTGAGGTAAGCATAGATATTCAATACATACTCTTATACTACATCTTCAAAGGGAAGAAAATGAGCTAATGGCACCGTCCCTATGTAGGGGACAAATATACGTGTTCACAGAGGAATCTATGAAGCGGCACAGGCAATGTACCAGCAATTCATGCCGGAAATATTGGAACACTTCCATAGAAACGGTGAACTCGCAAAGCTTCAATTTACTGGCCATTGTCTTGGAGGAAGCATTGGTCTTTTAGTCCACATGATGCTCCTCACTAGGAAGGTTGTGAAACCCACTACTCTTCTGCCAGTTGTCACATTTGGATCACCATTTGTGTTCTGCGAAGGCTACAAATTACTTGACCCACTAGGGTTGGAGCGAATGATCACATCCACTGTACGATGATGCATAGAGATGTTGTCCCTAGAGCTTTCTCCTGCAATTACCCCAACCATGTGGCTACTCTCCTCAAGCATTTAAATGGTTCGTTTCAGTCACACTCTTGTCTGATAAAAAATGTAGGTGCCAGTTTGATAAATTCATAGAAATGGGCGAACATAATTCAATATCAAGTCAATAAGGTGTCAATACCATTGTCAATAACATGTCAATAGTAAAGCGCGCCCACAGGTTATTGATATGTTGTCGAAAATATAAATATCGCTAAAACCCTTCGCCTAATAAAAGACGGACGTACTGCAAATAGATTTTTGTCTAACTCATAAAATCCTCCACGTTAGTAAATCATTTTTTTCTGATGTGTTTTTATGCAGAAGATGATGTACTCTCAAATCGGAAAACTGTTCATTCTCCAACCTGATGAAAAGTTATCTCCTCCACACCCTCTACTCCCCATGGGGTCTGCCCTCTATGCCTTAGACAACAAGCAATCTGATTTCTCTTCCGATATCTTTAGGGCCTTCTTGAACTCCCCACATCCACTAGAAACCCTTAGTGATCTAACAGCTTATGGTTCAGAAGGTACAATCTTACGCGATCACGACTCATGCAACTATCTAAAGGCTATGAATAATATCCTAAGGCAACACACAAGGATGGTTGTGAGGAAAGTGAGGAAACAGTGGAATCTCCTGTGGCCGCTGCTTACTTCACCATCTCCACACTGGTCCAACGATGAAGATGAAAGTGGTCTGTAGAGAGCAACAAGTTGGTAACAAGCGATCATACAGAGATATTTAAAAAAAAAAAAAATTCCTGCATATAAATACAGAGATTCTCAGGAGGAATTTATATCTCACATCCACTCCCCTAATTTCTCGAACAAAGGCGCAAGTACAATCTACAAAATTTGGTCTATAAGATATTGAGAAGTCAGGTCAATTCCAATGACAGTGAAACTGCATGTATGATAAGATTAAACCTATTCACATGACTCACTGACGAAATTTGCAACTAAATCTGATAAACAATACATTGATTCAAGCGAAAAAAAATTCAAAATAAAATTCAAACTTGAAATGGACAATATTATGAAGATATCATGTTAGCTTAACTGCATTCGTGGAAGCGTTGAGATTATAAAGATATCATGTTAGCTTAACGTAAGTGTTAATTACTTAGAGACTAATTGGTTAGCCAGGGGCATGATTATAAAAAAGCATTCCCAGCTCACTTGCATCACTCACTCTCTGAAATATACAAGCTCATCGGCTCTATTTCTCTATTCTTCCTGTATTCTCTCTCTGCTTTGATTTCTTCGCCTAAGTTAATCGATCTTCCTCTTGTTGTTCCTCTAATATCATTGTGATTTGTACCTTGCACCATTGCTGTTTCAGTTTCTGCAACCAATTTGTGGTTTGAGTGTATTGAGAATATATATATATATATATATATATATATATATCGACTTATTTCTTAGGTTATATGCCATAACTCATTCAGCATGTTATTCTTCATTAAATTCGTCGTTGAGAGTTGAGTTTTCGTTTAAATTGAAAAAAAGTTTGGGCACGAATCCCTAATTTTTGCCATGGATGCAAATTCTATTTTATTTTGAAGCCTGAAGCTTGAGATTGGAATATTTTGTACCGTATGATTTGTTCAAAACAAAAACGAGACTGTATAAACCATTGACAAAAATAAATAAATTTTACAAAAAAAAATTAAATAAATACATTGTATGGAGAACTATATAAACCCCGTCAAGCTAGCATGCACGTTGATTTTCAATCAGTAATAGAGAGCCAATTGGTTCACCAGTCATATTAAGAAGTTAAATACATGCACTCAAAATAAAAAAATAAAAATACATGAGAAAATTTAACAAATTAATATCTAAATAAACCATTTATAAAAAGTAATAATTAATCTACTAAGATAAACCATAATTATTGGCAGAAAAATTCAGCTTAATTAGCCCGAAAACAAACTGATATTATATATAAGCACTGAATCTGAATCAAAACAACAGCACCAAAAACTTGAATGATATATAAACCACACCACTTGCATTCAATAAAATTGAAGCATGAATTTAATCCACAGATAACACTACCGATCATTTCGAGCGAACATGGACGACATCGGAGACTGCCTGCCTCCCGCAGCAGAAACCCTTGTACTTCGAATGAAAACGAAGCCTGAAAATTGAATCGTTGATGTTAGAATCGAAGCAAAGTCCATTACCAAAACCCCGAATTCCTCGTACACTTGTATGCTCTTCCTGAGAAATATTACAGCCATCACCGTCGACATGGCATCCTTCAATCTAGCCATTTTCTGCTTCCTATAGGCTTATGCTCTTAAGCTGTTCCTTCTCTGTGATGACAGAACTTAGATTTGATATGATGTTACATCAAACATTGATTATGTTATGTTTGTATTATTAGTCGTACCAAACTAATAATATATATATATATATACACGAAGTTAAATTACAGATATACCCTTTATTTTACGGAGGTCTATTGTTTGCTCTTCCATTTCATGCTCTTCCATGCCCTCTTGTGATGTGTGGTCACGTTTAAACTAATTCAACATTTTATATTAATTTTTTATAGAAATAATAAAACAAAAAGTAATAAGAATATAAAATGTTGATGTGGTTTAACCGTGAACACACAAACACAAATAAGAGGGGATGGGGAGAGTATGGAAATTGAAGGACAGACAATCCACCTCCTTATTTTACCACCAGAGATTAGAACTTTCATTTTTTTTCTTTTTTAGGAAAAATAATGAGAATGGTTTGAAAATTTTGAGTTTTAACTATAATAGTATCAGCCATGATTGACTTTTTAGTATAAAAATATAATTTTTTTTTTTAAATGAACAGTATCAGAAATTTTTCATTAAAATTGAAATTTTGTTTTTTATGGTTTGCAAAAAGCATGCGAACAAAAGTTCAAACGCTGTTGCTTTCAAGTCGAAAGGTCCAAGGACACTATCGTAATTGGACGAGTGGCATGTGAGAGAAGCAAAGCGCTGAAAAAAATGAGGACATTGTGGACTCATCCTTTAGTAGATGCAAGCTTACGTGTTACTGTCCGTACTGAAATTTCTTATAACTTGCTTGAAAAATGTCGACACTCGATGTCATGGGACTATTTAAGATTAGACTTTATACCATACCTTTTGTTGAGTTTGTTTTATTGTTTTGGTAAAAAGAAAAATTTGGACAAAGAAAGCAGCACTCCTTGTCTCCCAAAGGTGGCGAAAGGACAGGCACAGCGACTACCCGGGGTGAACTCCCCACCGGCGGTCTCAGGCCATAAGGGCTATGCAGACTTGACGTCATACCCGACTTCTTCCGATTTCTCACTGGCATTCAATCAAGCTACTTTGTTAGAGCATTCCAATAAGAGGCTTTATATGGGGCTAAAAGGTGATGGATATAACTTATTTTAAAGTTCCGATAAATCTTTAGGGTTCTAAAAAAGAACCTCTTCTAATTTGGGGCTCTATACCTTTGAGGCTATAAATTTATTTGGATGAAGTACCGATTTAGTCCTTAAATTATTTTTTCAGTAAAATAAATTCCTAAATTCATTAAAATTGCTAATTTCATCTCTACCATTTTATTTAAAGCTATTATATCCAATTTTTCATCAATTTAAGTCACTTGACACACTTGAGAGTGTAATACCGTCATTTTCTCGCCTATAAGCCCTTAACATTTCATATAGATTGCAAATCTAACGTCTAATTTACCCTCCAAAGTTAACTCCATACATTATTTTTTTTTATGAAAATTTACCAATTTACCCTTTAATGTGTATCACTTGCAAGTAATGTGACTTAAATCGATGGAAAATTGAATATAGTAGCTTCGAACCTAATATTAGGGATGTAATTAACATATTCTTAGCAACCAATGGATTTAATTATCTTATTTCAATCTCATCCAATTGTTTATTTCTCTGAATGGCATATTTTCCGAAATCAAACAAGATAAAATTTCATTTCATAACAACATTTCGATTAGATTATATTATATCAATCTCATCCGTTGGTTTATATCTCTAAATGGCATATTCTTCAAAATCAGACAAGCTAAGATTTCACTTTCTACTAATCGTTAGATCAGATTTCTCACCTCAAGCTAACCCATTGGGCTGTTATCTCTAATATCATTCACTCTTTATAAATGGTATCACACTAATTTGAGAACACATAAGCTTCCAAACCCTTTATTCTCAAATACCTTACAACCACTAAACTGTAATGGCCCGACCATGGAATGATAACTACTCATCTAATGAGGATAATGCTACTTTTGCAATGGTAGGAGCCACGTATCAGCATTTCCATAGACATTTGGAGGCTACGTTAGTGCAAAATGAGCTAAAACACGGTGGCACCTTGTCACGCCGACAAAGAGTAAATCGAGATCGGGAAGAGAGCCACGTTGAACTAATGCATGATTACTTCTCTAACCCTCCTTTGTATCTACCTCGCTTCTTCCGAGCTAGGTTCTACATGAGGCGTGAGTTGTTTGACATGATCATGGAGAGAGTTGTCAATTTCGACAATTATTTCACTCAAAGATGTGACGCACCTGGAAAGCTTGGATTTTCACCATATGTCAAGATAACAGCAGCATTCTGAATGCTTGCATACAGAGCAGTGGTCGATTCCCTTGATGAATATTTAAAGGTATTAGAGACAACAACTTAAAGTCTTGCAAGAGATTCTGTCGTGCCATCCATACTGTCTACGGACCATAATACCTTCGTAAACCAACGAAGGATGACTTGCAATTGAGAAAAGCTAAGGAATGAGGGTTTCCTGTATGCTTGGGAGTCTAGATTGCATGAACGAGGGTTTCATGTACTATGAGATGTGAGGTCTCATAAAATTGACTAATAACTTCCGAGTTACCACCTTCGAAATGAAAAATGGGTTTAGCATCTTATTTTTTGTACTTTAATTAGTATAGCCAGTAATAATTACTAGAATCAGTGAAAAACACTTTATATTTTCGATATTGAAGTATGTCTTAAGTTCTAATTCATCATTACTATTCAAAGGTCAAATTATAAAACAAAATACATAAAATGTCACCTATCAACTGTTAATGCCAAATGTGATAATAATCGGGTGCAAAATAATTGAGTTCAGAATTTTTTTATTCGTAAGGGAACTTGAAGTGCCCGTTTACTATAAAAAGAAAAATTGAGGCGCTTATTAGTGAAACTTTCATTTTTGGTATTGGTGTGGTTGATTGCCACCAATACATTTGAAAGAAAGTTTCTGTTTAATTAGTTATTGATCATTGTTAGTACAATGCTTAATTAGCCCCATTATGTTTAATTAACAATTTGTACTCTTCCATGTGCTTTGTTCAACTTCCTTTCTACCATCATTCCTCCACCTTTGCTCATCCCCATTTTCTAATTGTACTTCCCCTATATCGCTAACATAAAAGTGAAAGCCAAAACTAAAACAAAATGGTTATCGATTCAGCATCTCTAATTTACAAAAATCCATCACATTACAATTTACATACAATTCTAAGGACTATACTTAGGCTTTTTAACTCTTCAACAAATTATTTTACATCCATCTTAAAGCGATGACTGCCTGCGTGTGACAAACTAAAGTGGGTCTACGCCGCTCCTAAGTCTAAAACTTTTGGACATTGTTATACCCCTAATGAAAGAAAGCTCGAAATTGATTTGCATGAAGAAATTCCAGCTCTGTCAAAAGTGAGAATCATTCCTTCCCACATGCCTTCAATTTTCAAATGCCTGAAATCAACAAGTAAAGTGTCATCTCTGTTATTTACCCTCTGCTGCCATCCTTTTCCGTACCTCATGAGCTGTATTGAATATGCCAAGAGTAGGCTTGTCGCACACAAAGCACTTCTTGTTCTTCGAATGATGCTGTGAATTAAAATCAGATTAAGGTTAGCAAAACAATTGGAAGAAACACGGCATGGGAAAACGGTAAACTCTATAATTGCAACGAGTTGAGATGATGCATTAAGAACAGAGGGGTTACCTTGAGCGCGCAGTGCTCACAGAAGTAGTGGTTGCACTTGGTTACAACAGGATCAACAAAGGGTTTCCGGCAGATGAAACATGCGAATGGCAACGAGCCATCCTCGTCGTCGTCATCATCATCCTCAGACTGGTCCACATCATCTTGGCCCAAAGCTAAATTCCTCTTCCGTGTTTTCTCTGCTTCCTCCCACTCCCTTTCCATCTGCCACCCAGATTTGTAGTCTCCACGATCATGCATAAATTTGCAGGAATCTCCATAACCACAATAACCAGTCTCTTTGTAGTCCTTACAAATGTCTGGCTGATAATCAAATCTTGTGGTAGCTCTGATGTGCGCAGAAGCTCTGAGAGGCCCATGGGAACCTCCTGCTTTCTCACTGGCCACTGTTAGCTCTCTTCGGAACCCAGCCTTGTAGTCAGTATAACCATGGATCCCTTTATATAACTTTTCATTCCCAGTCTCTTTGCTCTTCCCCTGCAAAGCCTCCTCTGCCTGCTTAAGAACTCTCTCGCGAACAGCTCGGGCATCTCTAGAAAACTCAGTCTCAGTCTCCAGAGTCGCTGTTGCTCTGCTATCATTTTCTACTTGGATTTCTTTCGAAGACTTGAACTCAAAGATTGCACTGCCATCAGATGTAGAGCTCTTCGCCGGTCCACTAGAAAAATACAGCTTGCCATCAGGCTTTGCGGCTTTTCTTTGACTTGGGAATGTTGTGCCCCCATATGTTGAGTTGTCCTCCTCCTCATCTTCATGAGGCCTTCGCCTTCTAATGTTTTGCTTCATTGATGACTTTGGGATGAAGTTGCAAACTGGAAAGGCAATAGATCAATGTTACAATGTACAACGATAGCTAAAAAAAACTCAAACAAGTACAGAACATACCTTTTCCAGGTTCCGGATTTCCACCTGAATCCGCCATATAGACACGTGCAACCAAAGCAAGTGTAGCAAATTAAGGTTGCCGAGGGGATGGTTTCACCGCTACTCTTGCTATTGGAGCTGAGTGGTTGGATTTGGGTTCTGAGAAGCAACTCTTCCTTTTTAACAGGGGCTGCTGACAAACAAAATTAACTTAATAATCTAACCAAAAAGCTCAAACAAATAGACATCATAGAATTCTTACATGAATCTCACGAAATAAAGTGAAATTGTAAAGAAAATGGAGATCAAGCAACCCTAAGCAACAACTTAAACTCTGCCATGAAAAAAAAATAAAAAAAATTAAAATTAAAAAAAAAAAAGAGAGAGAGAGAGTATAAATGTAAGTATTTTCTGTGGTATATCAATACTCAATTAAACAAAAGGATAGTAAAGTTCGTGTTTGCTTCCCAAGAAACCTATGAACCAACAAAAAATACACCCGTGAATTCTTAAGCCAGAAATACCGCTCTTTTAAAGTTTCAGAGAAATTTAAACCACATGAGTGATAATTTGGTGGAAACCCTAATAATGGAGAGAGAACTAATTTGGTGCAATTCAGCACCAATGGTAATGCCTCATTCGCTAGATATCGTTGGTATCAAACCAATTCTCGCTGGCTTGGTTTTGATGAAAGAACTAATTCAATCATGACAATAGCTTCATGAATGCATTAATTCCAGGGTTGCAGCCAGGAATTTTCAAAAGAGAGCTGCCTTCCTTTAATTAACTACGCAAGGAAAATCCCGCCCCTCAGCTAGGGCAAAGTGCCTGCCCCCTTGCACCCATATTAGAATTCCCCAATTCATATCGTATTGTGATTATCAACAAAAAACGAAAAACTAAGCACGAAAAAAGATTTAATCATCAATAACTTTGTTATCAAGGGGCCATAATTTTGGTCATATCCCATTGTACGAATCACTTTACACTTGTGCAATTGTATCCCTAAACAATCCAGTATGCTAGAACCTTAATTCCTAACACTAAATTAAGTTGCAAGCGTAAGGATAATCATCCTTCTTCGAATATCGAAACGAAACAAAAATCCTTGAACCAATTCCAAATCAAGAACTAACCAGAACCCTAAACCCTAATTTCCCCAATCGTAGAAAATCAGAAAACTCGCAATCCCCAATTCCCAAAATCTATAACACCCAAATTCAAGTAACCCAACAACTAAATCACAAAAATCCAAAAAAAAATGAGAGAGAAGAACTTACCTTGTTGCTGTTGATGGCTAGGTGGGCTATGGAATGCGTCGTCTTCTCTTCTGGGGGCTATTGGAAGATTGAAGATTCGAATTTTATACGTTTCGGAGTTTTTGAGTGTTGCAATTTTGCCGCGTTGAATGGTGTGGACGCAGATCGAGAGTGGGACGAATACGAGACAAAATGGGCTTGAGCTCGTGAAATAATGGGCTCAGTTGGAAGCTTCATGTTGGGCTTCCTTAGGTCGGTGCTCCAATAAGAGGTGGGCTATATTAGGTCCAAACAAAAACAAAATAGAATAAAAAGTATTAATTTATAGAGGCTTTTAGATCTAGGTCAAAAAACGTAGAGTGTTTTTAGGAGTGAGTCCAGTTATTAAATTATATGTTTTTATTTCTTTTATACTCATTTTATATTTTCTAAATATATTAAAAGTCAATTAAAATCTTCTAATATTATGCATTTTAGAACTCCAAAAGAATATATTTAATATCTTATAACAAAAAAACTAATATACTAACATAAATTTATCTGCAAAACATTCTACCCTAACTCAAGTAATAAATATATGAATGTATATAATACCGATATGAAACCTAATTAAAAGGTAGAAAAAACATAACATACCTATAAGTAAGACACATTAATCTGTGACAGTTAATTATAAAAAAAGAATCTGTCATATAGGTAGATAAAATAATTAACAATGTGATATAGGTTGATTATAAAAATTAAAAATAAAATTTATAAATGGGGTTTAAAGCAAGAGGAAGAACGAGAAATAACAAAAAGATAAATAAAAAGGAAATAAGCAAAGAGATGATTGGGAAGAAATTTGATTTTTATAATAAATATTATCATTGAACAGATAACTATTGATAATTAAATAATTAAATATAACAAATTGGACTTATTTTAATAAACTGGACTATTCCTACTATTAGCTTAAAAAATTAGACTTATATCAAGTTTCCCCTAATTTATATTTTTTTTCAAATTAAAAAAATTATTTCCGCACCCTTATTCTCTTTGTGCACATCCTTGTTTATTCAATTCATCGAGTTTCCTTTGAATTATTCAAATCTCAAAGCCATTAATAAACAGGGATGTTTAGAGGGAGAAAACTGGTGAGGTGAAAATCGCTTCCGTAAACGTAATGCAACTAAACTAGGGTAAAAAGACAATTCAAGTATAAGGTGAAGTACACTGTCCCAATTAACTAGCTTAATCAATCAGTAGATATAGTATTTATTTATCCTTATTGTTGTATGAATGTATGATGCACTGTAAAGTGGTAGTGGGTGGAAATTTAAAAATGCATGGTTTGGCTGCCATTTTACTTGCAAAGCACTCAAGAGAAAGGGAGCCCATCATTTGGTTGTAAAGCACAACTCATGTGGGAGGAGCATGCTGTAGACACTTTCATGGTCCTCATGTGCATTGCATTGCAAATTTTTACCGTTTTGAAACACCGACATGGCATCTATCCGACCAATGAGAGACATTCTTAGTACACAGGGTGGGCCCTTGTCAAACATTATCATTTGGACCTGGATTTTTCCCATATAACTTACATGCATATCTAGTTTTACTGATGTGATATCCAATTGAATCGTATATTGTTAGTATTTAACTTTTCACGTGACAGTGCGTGATTGTCAAACATGAATAAGTAATTTCTTATCTTAAATGTTTTTTTTTTTCAAAGAAAGTGAGTGCACTTGGCTAGAAAATCACAATCGAGGTTGAGGGGAGAAATATTTTTCCCAATGATATTTGATTTCCGAATAAGTAAACATCT